TGCTTCCAGTGCCCACCAGAGTATACAGTTTTTCCTTAGACCCTTCAGTATTTGATGTCCGGGGGATTCGCATGCGCCTTCTTACTCGTTGCCTACCTATATGGATTTCCCGGCATCAATCATGGCCAGCGATCTCGACTCTATCCAGTGGTCGTTCAGTCGATGAAATTGAACAGACAGCTTTGAACGCCTCTAGCATAGCTTCTTCCACATTTTGCCATGCTTCATCCACCTGATGGCTACCAGCACAGTGTTGATTTACTACAGAGAATAGCTTATAGATACTGCCCAGCTATGGTGGATTGGAATGCTTCTTGCTGGCGAAGAGACTGAACCCTACAGTTGCGTAACGGTCTGTGTGCCTCCGCGACCCACTTAGCTGGGGGGGTGTCTGTGCGACAGCCGTAGTTTCTCATACCGGTTTGATCAGTGATGAGAGGTTTAACCAACACAGTCCCCTGGCCTTTCAGGTTGGGGGGCTGAAGCATTAGTAGCGACTTATTATACAAAACTACAGTGAATCTCCATCCTCCCCGACCACCGGTGTTTTGTGATCAGGCTTCCGAGCCAAAAGGTATGGTTGAGGACCTCAATCGTCCCTCTGTCTAAGTCTGGGTGTCATGGCACATCCGTTGCAGATTGTGTTCCGAGCAGGGCACCTGGCACGGGAGTGCTTTCGTTTCTTACAAAAATACCACTCAGACGAAGATGGTCTCCTTGTCAAGGACGATGTAAGTCGAGTTTGATGGTGAAGCCACAGGTTGTTTTTGAGTCACCTCTAACGAACGTGTCCGGCCAACCATCTCTTCAAGTCTATGATGCGCTCTAGAGGTCACCGCCTGATGGAATGTGACTGGGAACTAGTGATGGAAGCGTCACACACGGACTGATCTCGGTGTCCGTTGGCTGTGGTTGCCTGAAAATCAGCATCACAGACAGTAAAGTCCAGGCTCTGAAGTAGTCAATAGTTTGTTCCCTTCTTCGTTTCCAGGTTGTCAGCAAACGTCGCGCGTGCTTGACGTCCTTGGGTTACACATGCTTCAACATCGCTCTCTTGAGAGTGTCCACAGTTCTTCAATTTAAAGGAAACAATAAGTATTGTCCCGCTAACAGGTTGAAAATTTCATGGAGATAAATGCAATATTGGAGGCTAAGATTTTCTGGACTCCAAAATGACTGGACACACTTTAGGTTTTGAAACTATTGGTGCAAGAAGTGATAGGTTTCGTCGGAAAAACTTCCGGCTATTTGCTTTAAGCAGATGATAGTGTCCATTGATCGGATCCGAAATAAGAAAAGATCGTTCTCTCTTTCGGTACCTAGCTGCTATACCACTCTAAGGAAGCAGAAGGTTGGGGTAGTGCCACGTTGCCAAAACCTAGACAGGGGAAGTCGGGATGGAGAGTTTGCATTCGAACCACGAACCTTCGGGTCAGTAAATTCGCGCTCTAACCACTAAGCCATCAATGACTTCTGGAATCCGAGAAGCCAAGATGAAACCTTGACCATGCGGTGGACTTTGACGGTAACTAGCACTTTGAACACCCGTGAGTGTGTTTCTGTAGCTGTTTATCTACACCTGACTAGTAAACATAGTTGTGGGCCAGAATCCTCATGCCATTAGATCAGAGGTGCCCGGAATGCAAGTGTTTGTGGACATACCCACACCTCCGGCATAAACCTACCAACCTCAGAAAGAAAAGATCAACATCTGAAGTTGCCTGTCGGAACAAGTCGACAGATCACCTCCTGAAGCAAGGGGACACGTACAGTAGAGTCATGGACCGGAACTACTCAAATTGCGGCATTTAGTGCTGTATGAATTTCTCCCCCTAGCATTACCGTTGCGACGAATGTCTTCGGGCTGTCTGCACTGAGAATCTACCAGCTTTGATAGCGTATCAGCCTGACATGTGGCATCAACTGGTTAGTATTCGACAGGAGAATCATAGCTTAAAAGCCTGGCTGTTCAGCGTTGCAGACGATTAGCTGTGTAAACTGGGACGCGTTCTTTATTCAACAGTACCGATGGGAGGTTTTTGGTCATTGATGAGAGTGAATTGATGCTCACCTAGTATTTTGGTGAAACCTTTTGATGGCGAACACAACTGTCAAGTCTTCACCCTCGATTTGACCATGATTTCGCTTAGTGGATGCAGTTAAGTACCAGTATTTAATCCTGGTGTGTTGTCGATAATGAGGATGATGATGGGCGTCAGTGATCCGCCCGCGTGAGCTATGGCTTTTCAGCTCCATTTGGGAAAACGTGGGTAATGACTATTCTGATGCCATACTTACATGCGCCCGACGCAACAAAATTATCCATAAGTGAACGGAGCTGGCGAGGAATAGATTCGAATTTAATGCAGACTACCATTCGTGTGGCCAGTTTCATGACACATTCTTTCTAAAAGATGTTTCGATGGATGGCGAACCGGGTGCATCGAAGACAGTAGAGATGATGCATCCGTCGGGAGTGATATCTGTTGCGTGGCAGAAATATTTTCTGGTTCTGGACGATGACCGTTTTTTTTTCGAAAATAAATCCAAACTATTTTATGGAGATGAGCAAAATACACATTTACCTGCACGAAAAATGACAACCTTAATCCTGAGTTCGACTGAGGGAGAGTTTCGTCGTGATCAAAACTGGTGACACTGATGTCATCCAATGACGAAAACTCCACTTAACCCGGTCGAAATTGCTAACTTTACACCAAATAGTAGGCGGTGAACTGGAATAAACTGTGGTGCGTTTTGATTGTCAACAATCCTCTGGAATCAAATGAAAGTGAACGTCTGTCGGGTGATGCTTCACAAAACGTGTCCCACCTTTGGGTTCTGCAAATTGAACGTATGGGTATCCAGCACAACATTGAGTCCAGGGAGATGATCCGTGAATACACGAATTCGGCTACCCGTCTTTTTTATGACAGCAGTAGAATCCGCGAATGGTGATTGGTTGGTAGGCTGGATAATTTCGGACTGTTGAACATATTTCAACTCTGCAACACGCAGTACAAAACTGTTTGGCGTCCGAACACAATCTGAAACTAGCCTTGAGATTGGTACAGCGTCCGAGATCATTTTGAAAACAAAGGATTGCTAACACGAGATTGTCTTTGAACTGTTTTGTAATATCTGTGACACAAGTCGAATGTAAGCTACTGCACGAAGATGTCAAAGAAATACTGAGAACATCGAGTTGCTCTGTCCAATCAATTTCAAGTGAATTCGAACTGTGACTTTCAGCGTTGTTGAAAATTCCACCCCCTTGAAGGGCACACTACATAATAGTTCTCCAGTTGGTTGTAAGGTTGAATGTTGCAAGGTGGCTGTCATGCCGAACGTTGTTTCGGGAGCCCCAGCTAACTGGAAACAAAGGAACGGTGGTCAGCGGATGACCTTTGCATGAGCTGTGAAATCTTGAGCCGAAATTGGAACTGGTCGTTTACCGAGCTGGAGATTAGGCAGTAAATCTCAGCAGCGGTTGGTGACACTTTTTGACGTTGCAGCCAAAAGTGATTCCGTATCGAAAAATTCACCAGACCACCCTGGGGAGTTCCAGTTTGCAGTTGCGTTCCCGCTGTCACTTTAGTTTATGGATTCCTCTTTTATCTGTGGTTATCTGACTTAACAGCAGCATGGACCAATCTTTCATATGCTATCTCGACAACCAAAATGATGATATGGATGGGACACTGAAAAAAATCCGTTCAGTTATAGCACTCTTTTGGTGCTTAACTGCCATACCACCCAAAGGAAGCACGAGGGTTGGGATACTGTCAGGTTGCCGAAGCCCAGACAGGGCAAGTGGAGAGGCAGAGGTCGGGTTCGAACCACGGACCTTCCGGTCAGTAAATTCGCACTCTAACCACTGAGCCATCTCGCTCGTGTGATACCGCTGTTTGTTGCGGCGACGCAGTCATCAGCAATCGGCCAGTCGACCATTTAAAGTGAACAGCAATGGATCCTTTTTAAGACCGACAGATGGGTGCTCGCGTGTCACCGGAAACAAGGGATGCCTGACCTACGGTGTAATGCAAGCGATGAAGCAGGTTTACTCAACAAGCTAATTATTCTAACAGAGCTCAGTGAACGTTCATTTACGGTTTGTCCATTACGAGCAAACTAGTATTGATGTCTTGAAATCCCAACCTCACAGTGACTCATTGTTTTTTTATTTTCAACCTGTAGTTTTGTTGTGGAGTTTCTAGCTGTCCGATTCCGCATCATCCATTGTGGTGGCAATCTTCGCCGAAGAATTCATTGTTTCGGTTGTTAGATGAACATTAGCAAACTCCCTGTGCGTTATTAGATCAGCGCTACCGCTCTTGCTCAGTCTGGCTGGGCAGTAATAAAGGACCTTCTGCTGTATCTATTTCGGCGCATTTTTCGAACACCCGGTCCAATGATAGTTCTTGAACTTTTAAAGTCCTAGCCAGTGCGCAAATAAAACAAGTCCGCTTAAACTACTTTGGGAATAATAGCCTTCTATATCAGTATTTGAAGGAGCTAGAAAAAAAACCGTTCAGCTGTAGCACCCTTTCTGTGCCTAATTGCCATGCCACCCGAAGGAAGCACAAGGGTTGGGATACTGTCAGGTTGCACAGGCCAAGAAGAGGGAAGTCGAGAGGCAGACCTTCCGGTCAATAAATTCGCGCTGTAGCGATTGAGCCTGAAGGAGTTAGATATGATAAGCGGGGTCATATTCCGTGAAAAATACTACACAATTATATACGTTAGCAGCATACGACATGCCTATTTACTCGATTCGTTTTGTGCACCCACTTCTTCCGGTCATTGGCGCTGTAGCGATTGAGCCTGAAGGAGTTAGATATGATAAGGGGGGTCATATTCCGTGAAAAATACTACATAATTATATACGTTAGCAGCATACGACATGCCTATTTACTCGATTCGTTTTGTGCACCCACTTTCACCGCCGCCGTTGCTAGTTGCAGTTTTGCCCATCCCCGTTGTAGCTTCCACACACTCACGTTTTTGTTAATTTTTCTGTTTGTGGGTCAAAGTCGCAAAGTTCCTCTGTAACCTTGTCCTCGGTTGTAAACACCGACGCATGCAGTTTGTGAAGCATAGGGACGGTTGTTCGGGTATCGGAGAGAAAGACCGAAGCCTGCAGGTGCTTGTAGATGAGTTTGAGGTCAGACCGGGCACGTCGGTGGTTGGCCTGACAGACAAGCGAATACTAACAACAGATTTCAAACTACTACAGCTGTTCTGCGTGCTTGATGTGTTAACGTATTCGAATACCTCCACCTGGTGCGCGGCGGCGCTTTGTTGTAGCAACATGATCTGATTGCGTGTTATCAATGTTTACGGCGTCATCGAGCCATTTTACCCACTTTTCTCATTCTTCGTTTCTGTTCTCCTCGTTTTCCAGTCGCAAGAAAGATGGCCTGGTTTTGCCACCATCGAAACCCTTACCAACTCTGCCCGGTAAAGAGGAGAAAAAGAAGAAGAAACGAGGTAAGCAATTGTTGAACAAATCGTACTCGTCCATGTACGTTTTGTGCGCGTCCCAACTGTTGGAGATGCGAACGTTTGTTCCTGTGGGTGCGGCATGGCCAATCGACGTCTGCTGTTCTAGAAGTATGGCTTACCGAAGAATGCTGGGCTTCAGTTCTTGGACAGCCAGCTGAAGTAGCCCCCAGGTGTTTGTGGGATTTTGTAGAATACATACATACTCTCGTTCGAGCACTCGTCCTCCTGTTCTAGCGTAATTATTCCGGTGAGTTGACACCAAGGGGGGAACACTGGACTCGAGCTTTGCCCTTAGCGCATATCCAATGGCCGTGCTGGGGTTTGAACTCCGGACATCTGACATTCGAGGCAAGCGTGTTACCACTGTTCTACCAGCGCACGCTGGATTCATCCGAATTTTTACGTCTGATCAGGTGAACGTGTTCGCTCTTGAGTGATATGAACGGAACTCCGACGCCTCGAGTGACGACCCAGTAACATACCTTGGTTGTGTCGGTCGATTGGCCCTCACTGTACACCGGAAAAAGGGATAAAATGTTCAGTTTAGCCATAGAGTTTGTTTAGAGACCTGAGCACTTATCAAACAGTAGGCAACCCTGGAATCAGCAAGCGGCTGTTCGATAAAGAGAATCTTCTGTCCTTCCTATTCGAAAATATTGTTCCCAGCTGTTGACTCGGAATTGAGGCGCGAAGTCCTGATCAGAGCTTTCTTTTTACTAAGGATCCATCTCCTTACTTTGGACTGCTTGTTCTCATGCTCAATTAAGTTGCTAGTGCTTCTGGCGACCTTTTTGCACCTTAAAGCTGAACGATTGGCTTTAGAGGGAGAGCTATGAGCCAAGTGACTGTTCCGTTGATCTCTTTGTAAGCTCTTAAAACTTGTCACTGGAAGGTCTTCGTTCCCCGATTTGATATCATCATCGGTTCTGGACAATATCGGAATTTTTTCTCACTTAATCCGCTCTTGACATATCTCTGACCGTTTGTCCCCACATGCGAACATTGCTTGCGAATGCTTCACAACCGATTTCTCTACTTTCTAACCACACAGCGGTATCAGGAATCTCAGATTTACCTCCGAGTAAGATGTTCGTTTGCAACACCTGCTGACTGCAGTAGGCACATGCCACCTTTGATGAGCTGAGTTTGAGCCCTAAGCTTCCCATTCCGCTGCACTTCTTTTTTTCAACTTACCCGCGCTTTAACACCTTATGGGCATTGGGCCTTTCAAACCCTACCTCGTATGGGCTTGTGTGTGCTAGGCTTTTCACCTGAAGCTCCCCGTACGACTGTTACTTGAGTATAGTATGGTGGTTTTCCCAGCAAACTGCTTATTCGCGGTTTGAACCCAAGTCGACTGTGCATTTGGATCGCTGTCTTTTGAGACGCAAGGGTGTTGCAAACTTTTGATTTCAGTTCCGCCCCTTTCATTTGGCGCTTGTTTTCCTCCGTTGTATTGCGCGCACCCTCTCCTAGTGGATATCACATATAATATCGCATCCCACAATCATCTGAGCGAGCCATTTCACGTCGACTGGGTGGTGACAACAGTGTGGAGACATTTTTAGGACAGGAGACTGCTCGGTTCATACGGCCATATCGTATGAGAGTGTTTGAACACAAAATGACTGTTCGTTCGATGTGTATCACAGGTGATCGCGCTGCATCTACACCTAGCATCTCTGTTTTCCCCAACAACTTCAAACAAGTACTTCAACGATGAGGCGCTGCTAACCGAATGTCTAGCACACTGGCGAACCTTAGAGTAGTCGTAGATCATAGTTTCATGTGACCTACTGGCCTGAAAAAATGATGCCCCGACTAGGACGTTACTTTGAACTTCAAGGACACCACCTATATCCCAAGGGGGCGAGATGGCCCAAGTGATTAGAGCGCGAATTTACTGACCGGAAGGTCCGCGGTTCGAACCCGGCCTCCGCCTCTCGACTTCTCCTATCTAGTCTTGGACAACCTGGCAGTATCCAAGCCCTCGTGCTTCCTTCGCGTGGCATGGCAGCTAGGCACCGAAAAAGTGTTACAGCTGACTGGTTGTCTTTTATCTTTTATTCCGGGACTCCTTCATTCAAACCAGAAACACGCCCACCATTCATAGGTCCACACTCTCACAAATACAACGGTACTTTTGGAAACCCCGCTTTCTCACATAAAGATCCACGCTAGCTTTCTTTCTCAGCTAGTTACTGTTAGCTTTCACGCCTCCACTCATTCTAATCCCCGTAGCAAGCAGTAAATTAGTCATTTTCTTTCTTCAACATCAGTAGTTGAAACTCTTCTTTGTGATTTAAGTTGCATTTCGTTGACCAAACCAACGTTTACCCGCATTAGATTGGCGTTATTTTTTGTGGATAAGGATGAATCGGACACGTTGACATCATGAATCACTGCTGTCCAGCATTGTACCTTGTATCCGATAGATATCTCTCGAGTCAGAATGAGACAGCTATCGTAGGTTCTTCCTCAAAAACGCAATGTGTGACTCGCTGTGAACAGATTCACAGACTTCCATGATGAGATGTCTAGAGTTTTCCTGTGCTTCACCGGTAGGTAGAGGGTGCTAATTTTCACTGGGCTTCATCGCTCTGGGACCTCGGCTTGCATCTACTGAGTCTGAGCCGGGGAATCGTGGGCGAAGACAGCTTTTGCCTCGCAGACTAATTTGAAATCCCCTCCAACTTGGGAAACAATCACTGTGGTGTAATCGGTTCATGTTGTGGTGCCATCGACGATCCATCTGTCTAGTTGGGTATGGCTAGAAATGCTTCCATCTGTAATCTAAGCCCAGTGCGACATCGGGGCGAGATGCCCCAAGTGGTTTAGAGCGCGAATTTACTGATCGGAAGGTCCGTGGTTCGAACCCGACCTCTGCCACTCGACTTCCTCTGTCTGGGCTTGGGCAACTTGACAGTATCCCAGCCCTCGTGCTTCCTCCGAGTGGCATGGCAGCTGGGCACCGGAAGCGTGTTACAGCGAACGAATTCCAGTGCGACATGGATACTCTAAATGGGCTTCTCGTTGTTGTCCAGTGATCCCTATGGTATTAGCCAATCCTCCTACCGCTCTCACTGTGTCATTTTACGTTCGATGTGGGCATTCATTGCCTCAAAACGGCCTACAACAAGTAAAGGATCATTTTATTCCTACTAAGAAATGAAATCCTTTCGAGAGGCTGGCACCCATAAATTCTGGTTGACGGGTAGCACTCCCTTCGACTGTAACATGCAAAGACGAAGCTCACTCTTGGTAGGAATCTGACGGCTGACCCAAGTCCCGGGTATCATGCGCCCAACCTTTTGCTAACCCGTGATGATCGGCGAAATTCAGTTATTAGTTGAGCTGAGTCTCAGCACATGTTACCGTTCGTAGTTATGACCATTTTCCAGGCATGTACACTGCCCGCATACCGCACATACCATGTGGATCAGGAATGTCTCCAGAAACCAGGGCCCGTCACTGGAGGTCACCATATTTATTGTTGCCAGTGCTTGGTTTTAGATGGAGATGCGCCAGTCTTGTTTTAAAAGCCGCACCTTTTTACAGCTGACCTGAAAGTTGTTTGTTCAGACTAGGCTTGATGCTTGTAGCGTACGGCAGGATTATTTGAGTAGACAGAATGTTATCCAACCTGTTGAAGGAAGTTACATCAGATCATCACCTGTCAGGCTACCCAGACCTGTGCACTAGCACAACCGGTCTTCCGAACAGGATCCAGTAACTGGTTCCAGTTGAGTTCTTCCCGCGTGTTTTGCAAATTACTCATGTCGGTGGTCCGAAAAAATCAACGATCACAGACAGGTAAGCTCGATCAACGTAACGGAACCTCTACCATTGTGTCGGCAATAGGTGTCATTCCATTCATGTGAATATACAATTCGATTCGTTTTTGGTTTCTGCGTTAAAACCTTTAAAACAAGGTTGATAAAATTCACAATTAGCCGGACCACGAAGCAAGTGAGATTGGTGAGTGTAGAAAAACAAAACCGACTCTCACGAGTCGCTCTCCACTCTGCATTTATCTCTGTAGACCCGTGAACAACACCCCTCAATTTGTTTCAGAGTGTAAAGCCTGTGTTGAGCTCTGGATGCCTAATTAAATCAAACGCTAACCAACTACAGAATGCCATGTAGTCGTGTTCCGACTCGGTGTCCAACTGCTAGGTTCTCCTCTTGTGATTCCACCTTCCAACACGGGAGATATTGACACCGGAAGTGACATTTTGTGACTATCTGTTTATCGGATAACACTGATCAACCGCTTTAATGTCTCGAATGCACCGCATGCGTGCAGCAGGCCATAGAGCCGACCTTCACATACGCTTTGGGTTCCATCATTCTCGTTGTTCCTGTGTAGTCCGACAACTGCGGACCGTCATTTAGACGGTATGATGGTTTTACGACGCCGTTAGAGCCAACCGCCTTGCCGTCACTCATTTGTTCATGATTTGTCATGCCTGCCAAGATTGGCACAACTCATGGTCCGGCTGGGTGTTTTCTCTACCGTATTTTGCTTATCATAGCACCGTTTTGAAACACCACGGTTTTTTTGTAGCACTGTATCAAAGTTCCTTCGCACACTGATTGGCCATAGGTCCCCTCTGGAACAATGTCAATATGGTTTTAGTGCCAGTATCAATCCACTTTCAGAAACCTTAGTGTTCAGGTATACACACAAGCAAGTGCGCAAGCGTCAGAAAACGATTGTATTAGGTGTGTCATTAGCCAACTAGGCTTTTACTTGTCTACCTGTTTTGTTTGTCCAACCTACAAGTACAAAATCGGTTGGAGTTTATGCAGAGGTGCACAACACAACACACGGTGACACGTTATCGCTCCATTCCATTCGTGCGTTATACTTCTATCGAGTATTTGTGAGCTCCCCGGTGTTGTCCGAACACCGGTGGTGGCCGAGCGAATATTGCGTGTGAACTATTTTCAACACAAACGATTTATGCTGCACCTCTGAAGGGAGGGCATCAGTTTGTTCCAAAGTCCCTTGGTGTAGCTTCGTTTAGACTAGAACTGAAAAAGATGGCCTCATCAACAAGTATGAGTTCAAGAACGTAATCAGGTCCTTTTTTGTGCAGTTGCTAATCTATTCAATATGGGACTGTTACGTTCCCTTTCGAAGGTTCCTAGGTCAGTGTCTATCAGAGTCAGTCAGCCAATCCCTCGTGATCCACTAAGAATCAACTGTTTGTTCGAATAGGTTTTCACTGGCTGACAGTGCCCCTCCTTGTTTATCTTCAAGTCAAATTTCAGACGCCGCTGTGTGCTTTTGAGGTCCCGCGCGTAAATGCTTGATTTTTAGTACTCCACTCACCACCACCTTCACCGTTGTTTGAAGCTGTATTCCACTCAGATGCGAATACTTCTGACGTCTAACTAATGCCAGGTTCTGGGACGCCGCTGCGGCACATATCTCCTAGAATTCGATTCAGGAACAGCGCCGTGTTGTGGGTCGGTGAAGTTCGAAAGATCAATCGTCCTAACTTTCGATGATGTGGTACAGTTGACATCGGATGGGGCTGATATTGTCGCAGAGATGAGGGTGGTGGGCTGAGTTCCCGGGTGCTTGAGCAGCGGTCCAATGGGTTTTCTGGGATAAGCCTTACTCTTGAGTTGTTTTTTTTTAAGAAGACGCGATTCTTGATGTTTTCCCCGAAGAACCGCGTATCAGGCGAGATATTCGTCTGGCATAGACAAGACTTCCTTTTATCTCCGTCTCCATAGCACTTGCAGCCATTTCTAGTTAAATGTATTTTTCCACAAGATAGTCCAGTGTATTCCCAAGTAGCTTTTTTTAGAAAGCACGAGGAGGTACTTGGTCTTTTCGAATCGTGAAAAGTAAGTTCTGCCAAGTCAGCCGTTTACGTGTAGCAGTCCACAGCTTTGATCACTGCCTGTCCATTACTCCTAGCTTGTCCTACAAGGTACCATTTACGGCGTGCTGTGGGATGAAGCCTGAACCTCGAGCGCCCCGTTCGTGCCTCCCAGCACGGTTTACGGTTTTCCGCGGGAAGGAGAACGTGGGATAACTAAATAGGGATGTATTCAGATCGGTAAACTGTCTCCCCGTTATTTTAATACCATATCAAGGAGACACTTTTTTTGGAATATTGGGAGCGCGTATTGGAGATGCTCATCCGGTTTGGGTAATCGAAAATTCCCAGGCCCCTACTCCATTTGTCTATCGTTGACTACGAATGTGATGTATGCTATCCTTAGCTGGCCTCGTATGGACGTTTTACTCGCCGGTTATCACAAGGATGTGACGCCCAGGTACTTGCTTCATGATACCCTAGAGGTCTCGGCAGAAGTTCTCCTTGGCCGAGAGGTGGTTTTGGAGACTGAGATGAAGATGAAACAATGCGAGAGGTATTTGATGCGAGTCTGTAGTATCTGGGTCTCCAGTAGACGACAGCTGCATTAGCAGTTGAGTCATTGTTAAGGCACTCCTGTACTTGTCGGAGCGGTCTGGAATAATTGAATCATTTCGATGAGTTGGTGTCAGCGATTAGTCACGTATCATTTGTGCAGTAGGTAGTCGAACTTCTAAGAACTGTGCACACTAGTCGCTTGGCTTCCAAAGCGAAGCGCTTGCACACTTTGCGGATTCCAGTTCCTCTCTTTGTGTGCAACTCTCAGCTAATCGCGGCGTGACGTTGTCAGAAACGAAACTACCAGGTGGTCCAGTACTGTCAACGATTTCAGTCAATTGGTAAATTACTGCCGTGACCTCATTACGAGTGTATGTGGTGAACAATACAGCCGACGGTTCAATCACTCACGTTATTCCAACCGCGGATTCACACACACACACACACACACACCTATTCGGATTGTATTTAATACAGCCGAGATGCAGTAAGTAGATTGCGAGAATGGTTCTTGTGGGAGCAGAAAACATACTTTCGCCTACAAATAATTAACAAGGGCCCTCTAGAGAATGCCGTGAGAATTGTAGCAGGATTGAAAACTTTAGAATGACAGTATTTCGCTTATTTCCGCAGCTGAGTACATAAGATAGTGGCTCCTGTATAACCTGAGCCCCTCCCCCACCTTGGACGCCTTCAAACTGCAGGTTACCATCCGACAAGACCTTGCTTTCTCGTGAATTTACTCCTAAACAAGGATGAGGTCTAAAGGAGTACCGTTGTTTTTCGTTTGAAGACTCCCTGTACAAATAGGAAGACTACAGCACCACGCAGCCAGTTTTGGTGCCCAGCTCTTCAATTAAAGACGCGGCCTTCTTTCTGTAACCCAGCCTTGGAGAAGCGAACCGCATGAAGGCTGGGCGGTAGTATTCCCTCAGACGATGGTGTAAGCTGATTGTTTTCTCTAATACGAATGATTTCGCTAGTCTCCCTTATAGCCATCACTAGAGAGGGAGTACAGTGCGATATAACGAGAGGAATTAGATTTCCCTTCGGAAAACTAAGACAGTCACCTGAGTAGGAGCTAGTACAATCATGTGAAGTCGGATTTAGTTCCCACATGGGAAGGGAGGGAGGGAGCATGTAGCATCCTTTACAGATTCGTCGTGGATATGCATCTCGAACTCAAGAATTCTAGTTGCAGTAGTTCCAACAGATTACCTTTTCAAGACACCAAATCATGAAAGATATTGCAGTTGTTGTGTGAATCTTGGGTGACTCCAAGTTACCATAAATCGGGCGAGATGGCTCAAGTGGTTAGTGCGCGAATTTACTGACTAGAAAGTCCGTCGTTCGAACCCGACCTCTCGACTTTCCCTGTCTAGGCTTTGGCAACCTGGCATTATCCCCGCCCTCGTGCTTCCTTCGGGTGGCATGGTAGTTAGGCACCAAAAGGGTGTTACAGCTGAGCGATTGCAATATGCTCCACAAAATCTTGCATCGAGTAGGAAACGCGGATTTCTGTTGAAAACGAGGGGTGGGATGGCTCATAGGTTGGTGCGCGAATTTACTAACTGGAAAGTCCCTGGTTCGAACCCGACCTGTTGACTTTCCCTGTCTAGGCTTGGGCAACCTGGCAGTATCCCATCCCTCGTGCTTCCCTCGGGTAGCATGGCAATCGGGCACCGAAAGGATGCTACAGCTGAATGATCTACCTTAAATCGGTGGCAGTTGGGGTGTTTTCCTCGCTTCTCAATTAGACTAGTTTGGGTGTTTTTTCCCCTTTATTCCTGTGGGGTGTCAACTTGATACGGTTCCCTCCAAGTGCCGCGGTAACCACGTGGTAGGAAAAAACTCGCAGCTACGAATTCCTAAGATTTGGATTGCGCCGCGCCATTGCTGTTGGTTCCGCATTTTTCGCCGTTTCTGTAATCGGCCGCACACACAGGCGCAAAATGACCTACTTGTGTGATAACCACACAGTTTTTCCTTCTGAACACCAATCGGTGTCCGACTCCTCCTTGGTCGGTTGTGATGGCACACAGCGGATGTACCCATGTCGTTTTTTTTACCGACTTGCACCTAAAACAACAACCTGTTGCTGCGCTTGTCACAGGTGCCTCTGCGGGCTTGTATTGTGACTCACCTGTCCAGTTATCTTAGTAAGGGGAAGAATAAACAAGCAATACTCGAATACACTGGCATCAGTCTTTTTCCTGCCGACTACTGACACTACCCGCCGGTGTTCTTTGTGAAAGCTTCGTGATGTGAAGTATGCCTTGCGAATGAACCTGGCCATTCTTATTGCGTAATAGGGCCTTTTCGTGTTACGTTTGACTCGTCTGTTCATTTTCCCGTCTTCTGTTGTAGGTAATCTATCGCGTTTACTCAAATTCAGTCGTCCGGAAAAGAAACATGAACCCCAGATTTCAGGACCCACCGGTGTTACACACGATCTTCACGTGGTATTCGATCGCGATACGCGGCAAATAAAGGTGAGTCGTTGTACCAAAGTGGGTTTCCGCCTAGTTCAGTGAAATCAAACTGGAGAAATTGCACAACGGTCCCAATGACGGGGGTGGTCATTGTTCGGGGGAGGGGGGGCATTTAGAAAGTGAGAACGTGTAGTAAAAGTATTTTTCTCAGCTTAGTTCGGGTCATGATTGGCTGTTGGGTGCAGACTTTCGACCACTCAGCTCTCGGCTTGATGCCGGACCGGCAAGCTTCCCGAATTTTGACCAATCTTGAGTGGGACGGGCTTCTCGGCCGTAGTAGCCCCTAACTGTGAGCAGTAAAGCGGGATCCCTGGGGAATTCCGCCTAACAGTGAATTGATGGCAATTTATTGTTTGTTTCTGATCTGTTTCCCTAATGTGTTTCGTCCGATTGTTCAAGTTCACGTTAATTGCCTAAAAACCTGGTGAGTCAACCTGGCTAGGCCCTTTTGTGACTTATCCCCAGCTTGAGTGTTGTTCACGTCGTGCCTTCGATTGGGAAATCTAACCTGGGTTGAGCATACGGGATAGCATAGGTTATCCAGTCGGTACACCCTTCGGATGGAGACCACCACATTCTGTGTTCCATGCACGGTTCATCCGTCTATCCGCTAGTGAGCTCCAAGTGACTTTCATGAGCAGACTGAAGTCTGGAATACTGATTCAATTATGGGTGCAGATACGTAAGTGATCCCCCCGCCCCATCTCTTGAATGTGTTCAACAGAACTTCCTTATTAACGGCTGCTAATAGTCCTCCGTTTTCTTCGTGGAGTACTGAGAGACGTTGACGATACACTATTTATGCTATCCTCTCGTTCGCGCAAGTAATTTCGACCGTGGTTTACAACTTAGTGTGTGTGTGTGTGTGTAGGGTTTTAAGGTCATTTGTTCCGCAAAACCATGGAATTCGCGCAAGTCATGTGGTCCTGATTTGTTTTGTGTGAGGTGCCGGTTACTAGGTTTAGGGTCATCTGACTTCCGGCGTTCAAGGTCACTGAAAACGCCTACCACTTACTGTTTGGTCGTTGATCGGTGGTAAGATTTGCCGTATTGAAAACATCACGCAGCACGCTGTTGTATCTGGTCAAATCGTCACAAAGCCATTCGATATGACAATGCATCGATCACCTTGAGAACAAGCTCCCCCGCCCCCATTCCGAGGATAGTCTCGTCTCGAGGCGTGCTGTTGTCCGGCCCTATTCAGTGCACTGGCGCTATCAAGTCTCTCTTTGTATGAACAGTCTTCAGTGGAATTCGTCGTCTAGCTTTCTATGCTATGAAACTGGAAGATTTTTCTGTTTCCCTCAGGCCTGTTCATTGGCTTGTATTCCCCACTACCGGCTTTATTGACTCCCTGTCCTCTTCCCCAGATTCTTTGATGAAGATTATCGCCCTGACATCACGTCGCAGATATACCGGTCGAGAAATCGCTAGAAATGTGTTGAGTGCGTCCTTAAACGACAAAGGAGCGCCATCCGAAGGAAGAGCGAAGGCTGAGGTACTGTCGAGTTGTCCAAGCGTAGACAGGAGCAATCGAGATGCAGAGGTGGGGTTCGAGATGAGTCGGTGGTTAGAGCACAAGTTTACTGACCAGAGGGTCCATAGTTCGAACCCAACCTGTGCATGTCGACTTCCCCTGTATGAGCTTGGGCAACCTGGCAGTATCCCGGGAGGTCGAGAAACGCTAGAGTGCATCCTTAAACGACAAAGGAGCGCCATCCGAAGGAAGAGCGAAGGCTGAGGTACTGTCGAGTTGTCCAAGCGTAGACAGGAGCAATCGAGATGCAGAGGTGGGGTTCGAGATGAGTCGGTGGTTAGAGCACAAGTTTACTGACCAGAGGGTCCATAGTTCGAACCCAACCTGTGCATGTCGACTTCCCCTGTATGAGCTTGGGCAACCTGGCAGTATCCCGGGACTCAGCTTCCTTCGGGTTGCGTGGCAGTTAGGCACCGAAAGGGTGCTAAAACTGAACAACTTGGGTTCGAACTACGGATCTTCCGGTCAGTAAATTCGCGGTCTAACCACTGAGTCATCTCGAGCTGCGTTCCGAGTTTGCGTCCGAATAAGCAACTCTTTTTAGTGTTTATTCAAAGTTCACCCAACGAATTATTTCCGACGTTTCTCATCCTGTGCATCAGTCACGTCTATCTCAAACATCCCCCCAGGTACAAGCGTTTAACTACCAGAGCGTCCACTTACTATAATCCCGTGAAGCCTTACTTGGCTTAGCGAAATACACTCATTTGCAAACTAATTTGTTTTTTCGAGAAACTCACCTGGAACCCAGCTGAATCTCTCGTTTGTGATGTGAAAGTGCTGCACCAGGCCGCCTCAGGTTTCAGTCGCTACAATATTCCAGGTATCGCGATACGTGTATATTCGTAATGCATTACTCATAAGGCTGCTGTCGACGGACCTTACTTGGCTTGTTTTCTAGTTTGCCCCATTGTCCTGCGTAATAATATCCCCCTTATCGAAACGAACTAGACTATTTGCATTACTGATCGTTAATCAGGTGACTGTTGCCCAACAGCTACTTGATGTGTTACCAGGTGCGATTAGAATCTGAAGGGAAGCAAGTCTTATGTCCTCGATGATCGTCTCCGTACTCTGTCAGTCTTCCGTTCGACAAAAATCCCTTCGGGATGCGGTGCGCGTTAGTCGAATGACGTGCTCATCCAGCGCCTCGGTAGATCCAAAGGCCCGCACCAGATGGACTATCGCCCTGCACCTCGATTGTGCTGCCCATCAATGTGATTTTTCGGGCCGCTTTCGTTGGCACTATGCCATCGGAATCGTACATAACAGTGCTGTGTTCGGTCGCGTAGTTACGCCGTCGTTGTCGCTCTCTTGTCTGTTCGTTCTGCACGCTTCACTTACCCGTTCTAGCTTGCTAGCTGTGAGTTTGTGTGTGTACGCGCCTACTTGTTTGCCACATGGTGAACTTATTTCTGCCTTCAGTGGTGCTTGCGTTCATGTTGTTTGTTCGCTCCTCATTGGTCCAATCGCCAACTTGACCGTCACTGCGTTTAAGACCAATACCGGATTGCACGTTGTTGTTGCAAGCCATTTGCCAAATCACATGGCTTTCGTTGTCCACGACGACCTGTTTGCAGACAAAAGATTAGCTTTTTTCCTTCGGTCAAACAGTCGTCAGTCCGTCCATTGAATCGATCGACATGCAGTGTGCCGTAGCCCAAATACATCCCACTTTTTTGGTCCATTTCTTGTCAGTCTCGTACTACAACGGTAAGATTTCGAGGCTGTCAAAACCTCTCTTCCTAGAGGGGGAATTCTGCGAGGATGCGGTGCGGCGCTTCGCCTAGTATGGAGCGAGGGCTCCACATATCCAATGGTCTTTCTTGAGGGTGCCTGAGACGTACTGCCGCAACGCGGCGTATCTCTTTGGCTTCTGTCGTCTTGATTCATACAATCGACTCGCTCTTGCGCTGCATACACCCACACCTACGTGGGGCGAGATGGCCCAACTGGTTAGAGCGCGAATTTACTGACCGGAAGGTCCGTGGTTCGAACCCGACCTCTGCCTCTCGGCCTCCCCTGTCTAGGCTTGGGCAACCTGGCAGTATCCCCGTGCAACCTTCGGGTGGCATAGCAGTTAGGCACTGAAAGGTCGCGATAGCCGAACGACATCTACGTGGACAACATAGAGATGGAAAACCCAAAATCGCAAAGCGTGCACATGGAAACACATCCAGGTAGACGGAAGTGAAGACGGTTCATCTAGAGGGTTTATTCTAATACAACTCATGCTTTGCCTGTTGTCTTGTGTCTCACTTGCATTACCCTAATCCATTTTGGGACAGTGACCTGTATTTACTCGGCCAAATTATCGGTCAAGCCAGGTTCAGTCAAGAACAGACCGTTATTTTAGTCGGATAGTGCATCAACGATTGACAACGGTTAGTTCTGATCGCTTGTAAAAAGGGCCAATCTGTGGAATGCACCCAGAACGTATGGTGCGGATGCTAGTTACGAACGAATCTGGCGCGACCTTGTTAGGTTGCATGCAACCAACTTTGTGCGCAGAAACTTCCATTCACACGTAACTCATCATCGACAGCGTGACATCAGTGTTCAACACCGATGCTTCACTGCCGTACAACCATGATTTATTGGAAAGCCTTATTGTAAAGAAAAGAATAAAGGTGGACGGGGAACGGACTTAGTGCTAGCTTACCACCATCATTCCGAGGTGCCTACACCTCCAGACATTCACTCAGGCACTTTGAATAGAGACTGACAACAAGAAGGTCACTGACATCGGTTGGTAGCCATATCTTGTAGTGTTTTCAACCAGGCACAGTGAGGATCACATGGTCCCCATCCTGGAAGGCGAGTAGCACCGACAGCACCCAAGCGTTTCGTGATCTCCTTCACACTCCTCAAGGGTTGGCCACCTCTCCGAATCACACGTAACTGCGGGAAATGAATACTTGTGTAACTTCGGTTCTGTCCAAAACCTATTAGCTATTTGACTGAGTTATCGAAAAAAACGAAGTATACGTTGAAAGAATGACTCCTCTCGGTAACACAGCACACAGTTGGCAAGTGCAAGGCTACTCTGCAGATGTCACAAACTATGGTCGGTAGTTTTGAACAAGAGGTTGCTACACTTGATCCACCAGTAGGTTATGTACAGTACATTTCTTGTGTTTTGCCAGTAAACTGGACCGAATAACAATCACATGATCTTATGCCACGAACCACATTTTTTCATTCCATCAATCTGCGGCCGCGACAGTCACTGGGATCTACTTCGAGCTGCGCTGAACTGCAGTTCCTCCACTCATTCATTTTCCTGGTGGTGTTCCTGATTATATAACTACGTGCTTTTTCTCGCGCACAACCCACAGACCCAACCCACTTATGATTCATGAACGAACGCAGTAGACCACGCACATCGTGCACGTGATCAGTTGCCAATTGGCGTCCATTGTTATTACTAATCTTAGTAATCTAGTCTATCTTAAACAGACCAGGAATTGACGGATGTATTTAAACACGTTCACTGTGAACGGATTCCAGACACGCTGATTGAACTTACAAGCAAACAGAGTTAGGACCGAGTGATGCCTGTGGATCGCAACGGATCAATAGAGAGACGGCTCTCCCAATACCAATCGGACACGAGAGAGAGAGAGAGAGGGAAGAAAACCAGGCCGAAATACACCGAACAGTAGAGGTACGAATTTCGACTCGTTAAAAAACGCATCGGTTATCGGTCACAGCGGCTGTGATGGTGGTTGAATATTTTTGTTTTGTCAGCGAATGGACATTGCACCTGGGACGAACATGGTGAGAGTTTGACCTGCATGTGCCCTCTCCCTGCTCGACCTCATCTACCACCAGACTTTTAGCCGGCAGAAGCCGGAGAAAGTGAATCCAGCGTTGTTGCAGATTCTTTTGAGTTTAGTCACTTTGGGGGTTGTTTTAATAAGCTTCCGATAGTCTCACTCAGTGTGTCTGCAGCTGTCTTTTCAATAGCTTGAACAATGCACATGAACGACAGATACTGGGAAAGTGTTTTTCTAAAAACAATAGTCCAGAGAGCCAGGTCAAGGCTCGTGGTATCATCCGTCACACATTGGGCTTAGTACATCAGTACATGTACTGACGTGTATGTGCAGTACATCAGTATATCGCCTCCACAAACGAATACGCTTGGCACTGTCAGACTAAAGTAGTCATGTCGCACACACATTGGTGTCACGACAGACAATGCGCCATCTTTGGTCATTGTCGCCTAATTGACGCATTGTCTAAAGCTGCTTCAGTCTCAAGCCGAGTGTCTGAGCGTCCTGCACTTGTAGCATGCAGGAGTACATTAGTTTCCGCTGAGTTTTGCCGCCAACTCAACTCCAGGTTCTATATTTTAAACTTTGCAAACTCTGGCACTTGATGTGGTCATTTCTCAAAACCTACTCCACTACTTATGGTGTGTGGTTCGCTCGAATACCGCCAACTCAATCTGTGACTTTCGAAGGTGATTCAGGATTCGCAAAACGGAAGACTCGGTCTGAAAGCTGACACCCAGTCGGTCACCATAACTATTGCCTCGATTTGTTTTGAAACTCACAGTGATTTTTCACGAACTTCATGTGCAGACGAACAAATATACTGCCCTAGCCCGATTTCGGTGACCTATGTGAACAACTTCAGGTTTTTGCCTGTCACAATACAGCTTCCAGGGTCTGGTGCACTGTCCAGTTGTGCTGGCCACTTTCGTTGTCGACATTTTCGACTGTCAACCGTTTGATTCGTCACACCAACGTGCGCCCTCATTTCTTACCTCTTGGGTGCACAAAATATCCGCGACACATTTCTCGGTCCCTGGGCAGTTTGATGCTGCGTGTGTGTCTGGTCTGCTGGCACCATTCCCGTGTGCTTGCCACACTGACCTTTTTTTCAAACCATGATGCTCTGCACCAGTTGGGCGAAAACTGTTCCATCTGCGAGGCCCAAGTGAATGCTCACCCGATCGTTAAAGCCCCAGAGTCAAACCAAAGGTGTGCCTTTCGTCATAAGCCAGCTATCGTGTGATAAAGTTCACTTGTCAACGTCGTGCCCTCCCAGTAAAGCACCTCAATGAATGGTTACAATGATAGGTAGGACAGTGTTTAAAAGAGTAATGATAGTGTTATACTCATGGGCTCTGACGTCGGTGCCGATCACCGGTACTGCGTGTTTTTTTATAGATTACATGACTGGAACACTGGTGATTGAGCTTACTGACCTGGCGAGACAGCTGAGTGGTTAGAGCACAAATTCGCTGATTAGAAGCTCCGTGGTTCGAATCCGACCTCTGCCTCTCGAATTCCCCTGTCTAGGCTTGGACAACCTGGCGGTATCCCAGCCCTCGTGCTTCCTTCGGGACCTGGCGGTTCCCAGCCCTCGTGCTTCCTTCGGGTGGCACGGCAGCTAGGTACCGATAGGGTGCTACAGCTGAGCGACTTTTTTATCCGGTCAGAAGGCAGCAATACATTCTGAAAACTTATCCTCGGATATTTTTTTTAAATTCTTCACCTTGAGTAATGTTTCGGGTTCATCTAGATCCAAAAGGGAACCTATCTATACGATCTATGGTCTTCCCCGCTCCCATTGGTGCCCATCCTCACTACGCACTCTTGAGCTTTATCAAATAGAAATTTTGTTTTATCCGGAGGTCGACGTGCGTTTAGAAACGTTCCGAAAGAACAACCTATCCACTGAGGTTAAAATAACAACTTTCGACACTGGGAACTTTGGAGTTTATCCTGACTTTGATGTAATTCACTGGTTCACGGCATCACTGGTAATTGCTAGCTGGGCCTATCAAATGAGAGTCGACGGATTGCAAGTGTCTTCAAATGCACTTCCCTGCTCAGGTCCCAATAGCTCCGGGAATACATTGATGCTAAAGATTCAAAGTTTTCACCTACCTCCATGATGTGCCAGTCTACGTGCTTGTTTGCATAGTTCCGTTTAGAAACCGCTGCATGTTTTAGCCACGTGCCATGCCATCTTGTCGATGACTTACTTTACGATTGGTGCAGTCTGTTTATCACTGCTTGTGACATTCATTCAACTCAATACAGGATTCCCAACCCAGTTCGAACGATGCGCCCCCCACTCACAAAATATATTTGATCCGAACGAAATATTCCGCATAGTATCCAAACTAGGCGCAAGCGATGAAGAGCACACAAACGGGTCATCATCATTTCCCTATCCGCACTTAACAAATCTAGACCACTAGATGAACAGACCCTAGTGAAAACACGATAACTAGTCTAATTTTGAGAAAGATATCCGTAAATGAGACAGGTGTGATAGTTTTTAGTTAGTGCTAGGAATCATGGAGGGTTACTTGAAACGGCACAACCGTTGGCGTTTTCAGCTTGTATCGTTCAGCTGCCATGCCACCCAAAGGAAGCAGGAGGGCTAGGATATTATCAGGTTACCCGAGCCTAGATAGCGGAAGTCGAGGTGCAGAGGTCGGGTTCGAACCAGGGTCAGCAAATCTGCGCTCTAACCACTGAGCCGTCTCGCGCCCTGTATGGTCAATTAAGAGCATGAGTTTCTACGTATATACCGGCACAGATGTAGGCGAGACACTGATAATTGTCGCTGTTGCCGAATGAAAGAGAGGGCGTAACAAGGGCTCAAATTTCCGGTTTTGGCAAGTGAAACGGAACTTTCTAAAGGAGCCAATAAAATTTGTGGGACTACGCTACGACAACCAGGATCACAGTACTACTCGCATGCGGTTCGCATCTGACAAATTGACGACTGTGCTCAAACCAACAGACGATTCCACAGGCTGTTGGCCGCAACGACTGTGTTTGATTCTAAGCGCCTACACTAATGAAAGGGTCAATTTGGAAACCACTCTCTGCCGCTTGTGATTCGTCAGCGTAATCTGGACCAACGAATTTACACAAGAATCGTTTGAGAAAGGTAACTCTCATCCCAGACAGCAAAGAAAAAGCACCATGAAAACGTAGAATAGATATAGAATAGATAGCCGAACACTAAGAAAGTGGGCTTGGTAGCACGCACTGTAGGTGCACCGGATACAACATCATGTTCGTTTGAACAATTCTCTTGTGAAAGCAAATTATGCGACTACAATAACCGCCCACAAACAAACAATTACGTGTTGTCCGGCAGTTTCTATTCGTGGTGCTGCATGTCTAGAGAATCCTTTCTGACAGGCGGACCAACCGACTGGCACAACCGGTACAATTGATGAGGTAGTGGGTTCAAGCATCTCCACACATAAATTGCCATTTGGATACCGCTTGGAAAAGAGTCACTATATCATCTGATGTTCCGTTTTCAAACGCTCGTCACTCATTTGTCTTCGTCCTTCTTTTGTACACTTCCGGATGAACGTCATTCGTGAAAGGTATACTGTTATTCCTCCGATATTGCAATGTACTCGAGTCAAACCGTGCAACGCAACGTAGCTTCTTACGTTTGTTGGCAATCCGTATGCAGCAGCAGCATTCAGCTATCTCATTTCGTCTAGCTCTTCTGTTTCACACACCGCATCCATAAAATTTTGTAAACTGACGAAACAAAGTGTAGAGAAGTGGTGTCTTTTCCCAGTCTCTCATCTGCTTCCGGTCCGAAGGACAGCAATCAATTCACTCGAGTAAACCTGTTCCAAATGGCGTTCAAGAGTAGCGAATTCGCGGGTGGTCGGGGCGAACGGTGTTTCACTGATCGACCGGGGTATGGGCACGTGATTTAACCTGGCCCATTTGCCCGAGAGGGAGCATCGTATAGAAATACACGACTTGAGCGTATACCAATTTCTGGTTGATGTCTCCAGCCAGATGGCTCAGTGGTTAGAGTGCGGGTTTATTGACCGGAAGGCCCGTGGTTCGAACCTAACCTCCGCATCTCGACGTCCCCTGTCTGCATGGCAGTTATCTGACAATATCTCAGCCCTTGTGCAACCTTCGGATGGCATGGCAGTTAGGCACCGAAAGGTGAACAGTTATTTATTATTATTTTTATCGTACAAGTCCGTTGTCAGCAAATGAAAGGTCAGATTACCCTATGCGTGTGTCATCGTTTTCTATTCGTCTATGGTTTCCACCAATCGTCTGTCTTTTTCATATGCGCAGGGTCTTCCCGAGGCATGGCGCCTGTTGCTCATGTCGTCGAATATATCGGAAAAGGAACAGCAGCAAAACTCCGAGATACTCCTTGAGGTTCTTCACTGTTTCGATGAGACAGCTAAACACAAGGACAAATACATGACCAACATCTCCAATGTGACCAGTAAGTTGAATGACCGACCGATCGGTTGTCCGCTCTGCAGTTGGCGTTTCTAATACCGTTGTTATCGCTCGCTCGTTCGTTTGATTTTATTGCATTCCTAACCTTGAAATGCCATGCTTTTGTGAAAGCAGTTCGACGTGACACTCTTGGAAACACAATTTTTGTCCACACAGTGCTCTACCTATCGATGCGCCTGTTTCCCTTTTCTCGATCCTTTTCATTGTTCAATTCTTCCTACCAAATTGCTCGAAACTCTGGAATTATCGATTCTTATTACCGGCTTGTCCCCCTGAACTAATAGCTCTACTGATAGTTTGCTGCGTGGTCAACGAGAGGGCACTCAGCCTCTGCTGGGGGTCCTAGAAGTTATTGAGACGGTGGGGCGCCCATCAGGCAGCAGCTATTTGGGTTAAGTATCACCATTGTGTATGACGGAAACGGAAAGTCGTTTTGGGGTGGGAGGAAGGAAACGAGTAGGGGCGACCGGTTGGACAGTGATCCGAAAACCAAAGGGGCGCAAGAGCTAACAGGCAAAATTCAATAGATAGTCCTGGCAGTATCGCTGTCACGATCGGGGGCTGGTTGGTTGTACGGTGACCGATAAACATGGCACAAGCATTTGTCCCACAGAGAAAGATCAAACTGAAGCCAACGTAGTTAACAGTCACAGGGCGCTGTGAAACAGATAGGCCAGAGTGGATGTAGGCACGCATTCCACCGGAGGAAAAATTGACAACGGGCGAGGTCACCAGATCCGAAGATTTGGATTTCATCGATGAACATTACGAAGGACAAGGATTACCAGATGGAGTTGTGGTTGCGATTCAGTCCTCGGAGCTTTTGAAGTTGCTTGAGAGGGCATATGTGTGTAGTCTGTAATTAAAGGTTTGCTTGGTTATTTTGAAATTGGAATGACGAAATACACAAACGTGGCGATAAATAGGTAGCCTGAGTCATTTCCCATCGGTATCAGACCGAAATCTCTTCCCACCGAAGGCCGCTTCGAGTATATCGAACCAGAGGACGAGTCATTTAAATCGCGGTTCTTTAGACACATCAGAATGCATGCTTTAGTCACTGTTTCCAACCCAGATTACCGAGGGCTTTCCGGTCATACTGCACTTTTCATCAGCATGTGAATACTGCGCAGCGTGATCGAGTTTGCCGGACATCTGTGACACACGGACCACGGGTGAAATGAGTCACGCCATCTGACATTGCCAAGGCGCCAACGAAAATAGACTTGAATCGCTGGATAGTACGTCCGCGCAGCTGTCCGACGTTAACACCCGGCCAGTGTTGCGGTGATAAAGAACTGATGGACTACACGCGCAGTTTTTAACAAATTAATGTGGTTCGAACGATCGACCGAGGCCCATAATAAACCCACTTCGGTATTTAATTTTGACTTACAGATTGGTTTGTATTACAGGCTCACAGTAGGCCTTCAGTGGAGAGGCTGTTCAAGATACAGGACCGAAAATTGTCTCAAATCTCGTTCCAACTTGTAACCTACTGTAGTAACGGTATTTTCCTCAGCTTAGCTTAGGGTCTGAGCCTCCCAAGCTAGCGTTCACGTCAAAACAACCACCAAAGGTTCGCAAGGTCTATTAATGCCCAAAACGAAGTCAAGAACAGTTGTACAGCGCTTCGTATATATAGCGTAAGCGGTTA